GACTTTGGCATCGATGCCAGCATCGATGCCCAAGCCCATCTGCACAAAAACCCGCAGCAGTTTTTTTCTTTTCCCCTTGTTTTCTTTCACCCATCTTCCCAAACCCGATTTCTCCCCCCCCCCCTCAAACCCTAATTCACCCACACAAGATCAAGCACATTTTGGGTAATTTCTTGGGCTTCTTCCATCTCCAACCATCTCCCCAAGGTATCTTTTCTAACTTGATCTTGTAATTTCAATTTTTTTTTTTGTATATACTTGGATGATCTTGTGGTTGAATCATGGGTAGTTGTGAATTATTTTCATATTTCGTGTGATTCATGATCAAATTAACAAATTTAGGCTTTTAAATTGGGAATTTGATACAAAATCCGAAAATTTGGGGGTTTATTCAAAATTCGAAAATACTTAGGGTTTTTGTGCAAAAACAAAAAAAATTGAACTTGGAAATCAATTGAGGAGATCTTGTACCAAATTCTGAAAAAAAAATTATGTAAAATCGAAAATTTCAAAAAAAAGGGGGTGTTTCATGCAAAATCCGAAAATTCTTAGGGTTTTTGTGCAAAAACACATAATTGGGTACGTGATTTTAAATTGAAAAAAAGAGAAAAAAAACAAAGTGGGTGTTTTATGCAAATCAAAAAAAAAATTAGGGGGTTTTTTTGCAAAAATAAATTTGAATTTAGGGTGTTTTGTGCAAATATGAGTAATTTGTCAAATAAAAGTCTAATTGGATACTTCTCACGTTCGGAAATTTGTACCGGATATTTTATTCAACAATTGTAAGGTTTAGCTTATAATTGTCATTTCAACATGTATGTTTTACCGATCAAGTTATCAAAATTTTAACATTTTTTATTTCTCAAATAATAATTTTGAGGGAATTTATTGTCAAAAGAAATTCTGATAACTTGAAATTAACTCATGTTGAACAATTTGTAGCTAAATAAATAAATAAATAAATAAAAATTTATTATTTTTTTTTCCCTTTTTTTTCTTTTCTTTTCTTTTTCTGTAGATGCCTCCCAGAAAGAAATCTCGAGCAAGTTCATCATCCTCTGATCCATTTGATACCGACATAGATAGACCCACTATTTTAGCTAGAATTGTGGGTCTTAACATTCATTTTGAGAGGGGATTTCAGATGAGTGCACTGCATACATATCATTCCACAGTCACCATGTTATCTGCAGTAGGTCTTAGGAGCATGATGACTAAACCCTTAGAAAAAGCCAACATTTCATTAGTGCATGAGTTCTATTCTGGATGGGAGATTGATCCAGATAGAGAATATTCAGCTTTTTCTATCGTGAGGGGTGTTAGGGTTATTTTCGATCTTTCCACTATCCGTGCTACCCTTGACCTTGCAGAGCCACCCACTGATGTACCAGATTACTTCCATTTAGCCTCCACTTTACAGCCTGGTACACCAGAATACAACAACATGTCTGCAACCTTGTGTGGGAGGGTCTTTACATCTAGTTTCGGTTCAGGAAATCTCAAACCAGAATATAGATTACTTAATCTTTTCCTGAACTTTGATTTGAAACCCACCACTGCATACTCCGTCATTACCCCACACGATATTCTCCTTCTCTTTTGGATAGCCACTGGTCAGCGATTTGATATAGCGAGGATTATATTTATATGGATGCGCTCATCAGTGGAGAATGTGTTAGATTGGGTCAGGACACAGTCTGCATCACGTACTCAGCTCATTTACCCCTATTTCATCACTAGACTCTGCCATAGATTTCATGTTCCAGTATTCGCAGAGGATAGGTTAGAAGCAGGGAAGGGGTTACTAAATGATCAGACTGTGAGGAGGAGCATTTCAGGGCGAGATCAGTCCGGTCCTTCAGGTAGAGAGCCTCCTCAGCACCAGCCAGCTACACATGACCCCACTCGAGAGGAGATGGATACGATGCGGAGTCGCATGGACAGAATGCAGATACAGATACACAGGATGCAGCGGCATATACACGAGATGCATGGTCAGATCAGCTACTCTACCGATACCCTGGCATATTTGGCGAGAGGATGGCAGAGAGAACATGGAGATACAGATGGACCTCCACCTGAGCTTCATAGTTATATCACACCATTTCAGCCAGATGATTTCCCAGGAGAGGATGAGGCGGGACCGAGTTCAGCAGCTACCGCTGATGATGTGGATGACGATATATCAGGAGATGAGCAGTGAGGGATGTTCTTTCTACTTTACCCAGTCTTTGATTTTTTTTGGCATGTACTTATTAAACTGTGATATTTTGGATATTATGTGCATTGAGGACATTGCAAAGTCTGGGTATGGGGGTGTAAGCTAGTTAAGCTTTTGTTTTGCTAGTTAGTATTTTGTTTTAGTATTTTTTTTTCTCTCTC